TCCCCATTTTCATTAATTTTAAAAGGGGTAAAACGTTAAATTTGCATTTTATATATAAACTTTTTACAAAAAAACAAACTTAAAACATTTATTTTAAAATAAGTTTTTATTTTATTTTATTTTTTAAAGAACATTTTTTAAATAAATTTTTATTTTATTTTATTTGTAAGTAACTTTTTTTAAATAAGTTTTTATTTTATTTTATTGTTTTAAGTAAATTTTTTTAAATAGTTTTTTTTTTTAAGAACAAGTTTTTAAAATAGTTTTTTAATATATATATATATATATTTTATTGAAGAATGTGTGGTTGAAAATGAGAATTGATTTGAGAATCAGAAACAAACAGGATCATATCTCACATTGCTATTTGAAATCTTCGTTTTTGACTTATAATTAACTTTAGTATCCAAGGGAGGAGTGAGGGTAGGATAAAGATTTTTTTTAGTACTGGGCATTGACATAGGAAAAAGGTTTATTAAAGTTATTTTTAACTACGTGCCCGTTGATATTTGTTTCCCATTATTTGAACACACGATGAATATTTTTTTTTTGACCCTTTTTCCCAACACATGGGTCCCACTGTGAGATGGTACAATCAAAAGTTGCGACTACTGTTACATGTAACAGTTGAAATTTTCATTAAAATGAGGTAAAACGTTGGTCCCCAATAGGGGCTTACTATTATTATTTCTAGTTGTCAGAGAATTGAAATTGCAAGACTTGAATAAATGTAGAAGAAATGAAAAGTATCATCATTTGATGATTATTACACCTTCCACAATTTCATAAAGTCGAATTAAAATGTGCCTTTTCTATTAGTCACTTAATTAAATTTCGTTAGTTTTTTAAATAAAATATTTGACATAACACTCGATAATCTAAAGTGAACTCGATGTGAAGGTCTTACACGCTAAATAGTTGGTTAAAGAAACTAATTTAACAAAGTGACCATACTGAACTAATTTTAAACTAATTTATGTAAAAAAAAAATTATGTATAATTTTATTTTTTTCTTACGTATTAACCCGACCTGTAATTTGGTTCTGAATCCGTCCCCGACTATAAGTTGAGTCATGACTAATGTTTTTTTTATGCAAATATAATACGATGATTTAACGTTAATATATATTTCAAGAACATGTTTTGCTAATCTCGAAAAAAAATCCTTAAAA